CTTGCAGCGCCGCAAGCAACTTGGATTGACGATCGCGCGTCGAGGTTGTAGCATATCGGCGGGTGCTCGAGCGCGTCCAAGCACTGGTAGACCATGTCGACACATTGACAGCGCATGAGGTCAAACGGACGTGGCAGCTCGACGTGCGACTTTGGCCATGAGCTCACGTCATATGACCTTCGTGTACATGGGTCAATAATAAATATTATTATTGTTCTTAATCTTTATTAATGACCCATGCGTGTACTACGTCAGTCGTGTCGTTTCGGAAATCTACCGTATATATACGGTCGTAAATACGAATGCGATGGATAAATACGGTCAGTCGCCGCACTTTGGAAAGGTCGCGAAAAATCAGTATGACCGCGGTCGACGACGGCTACCAGCGGGCCCTGCAACGCGTGCAGCTGCGCAGTGCGTTCCACCGAACGGGATGGTGTCCGATGCCCAACCTCGTGGTGGCCGGCCGCCCCGTGCTGCTGACGCCGACGAGCACTGGCGGCATGGCACCAGGCGTTGTCGAGGCCCGGAACGTCCAGGTCGACGCGACGTGGGAGGCCAACCTCGAGCACGCTGTGGCTCCTCTTGTGGCCCACGCCAGTGGCGGCTTTAGTATTTCGCTTGCCCACGTCGTTGCCACAGCGCCACATGCGCCGCTACTCACACAGAAGCTCTCGGGCCGTCCCGGCAGCTTCGGCACGCTTGTCGTGCTCCTCGCCAGCACCGAGCCTGGAACGCAGCGATGGAGCGTCCACTCGCTCGGCAAGACGTTGCAATGGACCGTGCGCCCTTTGCAGTGGTGTGCATTCTTTGGCCATGTCAAGCCGACCGCGCACTGTCTTGGGCGCTGCGTCTGCCTTGTGTACCATCTCATGGCGCCACTGCCTCGCCCGTTACCCATCGATAACACAGGCGCCATCCAGGAGTTCAAGGTCCTCGCTCAAGGCCACGTCGGCGACGACCCGTGCCTCATGTACGTGTGCGCAGGCGCGGCCTTCTCGGCCAAGGACGACGAGCTCGTCGAGGTTCTTCTGGACACCCACCAATATGACGTGGCGCGCGCCCACGGCTTCGACACCCCAGATGGCTTCACGCTGACGCGCGTCACTTGCTACGGACGATTGATTCTGCCGCGAATTCTCCTCGACTGCCTCGAGGGCCGCGTCGTGCGCCGCTGGTTCGGATCCGAGACCTCCCAGCCGTCGCCAGCTCTTCTCATCGTGTGGCCACGCAAGGCGCGTTTGCGTCTTTTGAGCATCCATAGCGTGCTGGACGCTCTGACGACCACATGCGGCCAGCGCCAGCTGCAAGCGTGCGCCACGGGCAAATTTGCCCGACAAGTCGACACGCCAAGTCTTCTCGACCGTATCCTGCGCAGCTTCCCCATCACGCCGATGCTGCACTCGTCGCTCGCACGCATCTTGGTGGCCAACCACTGCAAAACGACGCTGTGTTTATTTCTTGCCAAGCATTTCGTGCCAAGCCACGACGCGGGTGGTCTCTTGACAGCGATGCTGCGCGTGTACGACGTTTATGGCTGGACCGCGCTTGGCGCGTCCATTCTGGCGATGGTGCAGCGCTGCCACGCGCAGCTCGAGCACGTTGTGTCGATGCTGTACGTCCTCTCTCGCCTTTCGGTGCGCCACCTCTTTGGCCACGCCGAGTACTTGAAGGCAGCGTACACGGCGTGCCTCGGCCACCTCAAGATGCGTGTCGAGACGCCCTTTCTCGAGGACCCAGCCTCGTTTCTGGCGACCTTTTTGCGGCTCGAGCGCCAGGTCTACCCGCCGCACGTGTCGCCAGACGATCGCCACACGTGGTTTGCGTATCGCTTGCCGCGCGTCGCCTCGATGCTCATCGAGTCGTTCCAAGTCTGCCCGAATGCGCTCGTCGGCATCCTCTTGTCCAAGCCAGCGCTATCGCCCGTGCACGTGCTTGTGCCGGTGTTGGCGTCGCTCGACTTTCGACCGGCCAAGCTGCAGCTCGCCGTCCACAGCATGTATGGCCGCATGGTCGACACGCTGCATCGAGTGGGCAGCTACGCGGCGGCCTCTTTCCTGCACGTTCTCGATGCCGTGGGTCTTCTTGGTATGGAGTCGCCCCAGCTCTGGACGGACCTCGGTGTCGCCACTGTCCCGGTCCTCGCGACGCTCCTCGGGACATGGGGCCCTCTTCGGGAGGCAGACGTGACAGCTGACATGCTGCTCACGGTCGCCAACTACTGCGTCGTTGAGATCCCCTTTCTCAATTGTATGCTCGAAGAGACGACAGCCGTGTGGTCCAACGCCCGCGACCTCTTCCCTCGCTATCCCAAGGCGACGTACGACGACACTGACGACTTGACACAGCACCTGCTGAAGGACGCTGTGGCGCTGGTGATCGCCAGCGGCGCGGTGCACACGTTTGTCACCTCTGTGCATAGCTTCTTGGCCACACGACCCATTGCTTTCCGGTACCTCTCGGGCGTCATTCAGCTGGCTCGGGCACTGTCCATGCATGGCGCTCTCGGTGTGGGTCGTGCCATCGCAGAGGCCGCACTCACAACGGTCCACGCCGAGGTGGCCGCCTGGACGTGCTTTCTCGAGTGCGCGTGCATCCCATGCACCGGTTTGCGCTTCTTCTTGAGCGACGCGCGCGAAGGTGTTTACGATATGGACGACATGGACGCCCCCCACGTCCGCACGTCTCTCTCGCTTTTGCCTGGCTGCGAGATTTTGCCGCACCACACGCTTCGCGTCGCCAAGGAGAACCACACCGACTACCCTGCGCTGGCCAGCATGATGATCCACGAACTCCGCGCCAGCGTCTCAAACTTGTCAGACATCTGAGCCCATTCCATTTTGCAGATCTGAGTACCAGTAATAACAGCAAGCCGCAAGATTCTACAAGATTTGTTGTGAGCATACCATAGGAGTCAACATCGTGGCGCGAGCAAGTAGTACTTCCAGGTGCAGGAAGCGGACGTCGAGTTTTTGCAGTCTCGATAGAGTTGACAATTGGCTGGACAGTCATTTTGTGTTTAGCCTTGTCGACCCTAACCCGCCACGCCGCTGCCAATGGCTCGCGGTCAATCGAATCGTCTATTGCGACACTCGAGCGCCGTACAAGGTAAAAGACGTGCTCTGGGACTGTGCAACGTCGATTCTGCATCGTGCATTTTACACTTTGACGCCTTTACACGCGAAAAAACCGGCGATTTCATTTCTCATTTTGCAGGGGTCCGCACCGCCGCCGGGTCGGGGTAGCCTTCGTGCTACGTCGGGGTGAGGAGATCGCAGCATTCGGCCCACAGGCTCTGCCATCCTTACCGACGGCTGTCGCTCGCTTGCGCTGGTTTAGGCGTTTAGGAGCGTAGCACAGTCTAGTCGTGTAGCAAAGTAGCATCGCAGCGCCCATCCATCATCGCATTCACTCGTTTGCATGCAACACATACCTCCATGCAGTAGTACTCGTTTCTCGACGACGATGGCGACAACAGCGACTCGTTGCTGCTCGCACCCTTGCAGCGCCGCAAGCAACTTGGATTGACGATCGCGCGTCGAGGTTGTAGCATATCGGCGGGTGCTCGAGCGCGTCCAAGCACTGGTAGACCATTACCACGTCCTCCCTATCTCGGGGCGTACTACATCACGGAGCTGGCCTCTCGCTGCGTTCCAGTCAAGTAGCGACAAAATCGATCACGCGTCGACCGCCCAAGCCGACGCTATAGCGCTTAACGACATTTGCCAAAGTATGTGCTCACCATTGCCTTCGTATTCTGGCAAAGACGAATAAGCCGCCAGCGTCGACAAAACTTATTGCGCCCTTCTTGCAGGGAAATTAGGCAAAGGCGAGAATGGGCTGCCCGCACGTTGTACCGCCTGCCAAGGTACTTGGAAGCTGGCGTTGCAAGCTGCAAGGTCAAGGTCACCACCGCACACGCGGCTTTTTGTGACGCGGCACGTAGCCTTGGCCAGCATGTAAATCGTCTTGCATACTTCTCCTTCTTCTTCAACGTCCCGAGATAACTAGGCTCCTGGCCGGCGCTGGAGGACAATGAGTCGGCGGTCCTCGGCACCAATCGCATTCCATAGCTTGCGGGGCGTGCGCATCACGGGCGGCATCGACGCGTGCGCGTCATGGAAAATCGGCGCCAATGGCGTCGGTGTGTCCTCCGCCACCAAACGCTCGACGGCTTTTCTACACCTGCGAGTGTCAGTGAACAACTGTGTGCGCAGATAAGAAGACAACGATGTGGTCTTGTGCGCTGGCTTGGCTTGGACGGGCACGCTCGGACGCAAGTGATCTCGCTTGTGCGACAACCCTTTGGCGAGCTTCCTACAGAGTCGGTCTTGAGCGTGCAACCTCAGTGCCTCGATCTTTCGTACAAGGTCTTAAACTGCTGGGTGCGAACGTCATAGTGCCCCAGCGCCGGCAGCAGCGGGTCGTCCGGTGGCGGCTACCATTCATTGCATTTCATATATCCTCTCACATATCCTTGTCTACCTCGAATGCCATGGCGTCCGCTCTCAATGTGGTCGACGGGGTCGGCGGTTTTACCGGGCGAAGCACGGGTGGGCTGTAGACAAGAACATCTGCCGTCGGTGGCAGCGGTATGGGCACTGGACGTCTGTGCCGCGGCGCGTGGCGCGTCACCGATGGAGCCTCGGAGACGGGCGGCGTTGGCGGGCGCTCGTTCACCAGCGCGCATTTCTCGAATGGATTACGGATGTAAATCGGGTCGTCCTCCGCGTCTTGGTCGCCACCGGCATCGACGGGTTCTTGGTTGGAAGCGGCTTCGTCCGTAGCGAGCTCGTCGTCGTATTCAGTGTCGAGGGACTCGAGGAGGGCGGCGGTGGACGGCGGCTCGAGCACGCGCGGCAGCGGCAGCTTTGTCGGAAGCACGTCGACCGCCACGAGCGTAAAGAGCTTCTCTAAAATGCCGACAAAGAGATCGCCCTGGGCGTTGGCAAAGCACATGCACGAGAGCGGCGTCGACATCTGCACTTCCCGCAGCAAGTTCTTGCTCTGATCCCAGACCTAATATACTCTCAGCTTTGGTACATCTACGAGGTGGAAGAGACAACGACGACCTTGATGCTCATGTCAAAGCTGGTCGTGGCGCAAAGGTGCAGCTCGTCCGAGCAGTCGGCGGCAATCACCATGGACGAGTGGTTGACTTCGGACGAGATCAGTTTGGGCTACGACCATTTCGATGCTCAAGAAGACCAATTGGACGGTGTACCTCGGCATAAGCGAAATCGACAAAGTCGACGCGGCCGTCTTCAAAGCCACAGACAATATACTGCGCTGTGGGCGAGACGCTCATACACGACGGCACTTCGCCGAGCGTGATCATCGCGAGGCGCGTCATGCGCGGTGCCGTGCGCCAGAGCCCGAGCGTCTTGTCGAGCGCAAAGCTCACGAGCGTCGCTGTCGATGTACTCGTAAACGCAAGGTGCGTGATCGGTGCCGTGTGGCCGGGTTGCAGCAGCGCTTCGTCCAGTGACGCGTGTATGGACGAGCTAAAGAGGAGCTCGCCTTTGTCCGAGCCGCACGCGAGCCAGTGGACACCCATTTCGACTTCGAGCACGGCTTGGGCAAGGTAGTCGGTACGGGATTTCTGCACCAGCGCGTTGCGCCGACCGGCGTCCGTGCGCTGCGTGGGCAAGTGGAAGATCGGCGGCGCCAAGACGCAGCAAATCGCCTTCACGATGCGGTTCTCAATCTCAATGCATCGGACCGGCGTCGTCACGTCGAGCGCCACGTCGTAGACCGCAACGCGATTTTTGAGTAAAATGTACAAAATGTCCACATACGGGTTGTACGCGATACCAATGACGTCTTGGAGAACCGCTTCGTCCGGCGTCCACGTTGCCGACGGTGTGGTCATGCGCCGCGTCGCATAAATGCGCACCGACCGGTCCTGGCACATGCTCACCACGTGGTTCTCGCTCCACACCGAGTGGTCGTCGCCCGGCGTCGTCGGCGGGCCTGGTGTCGTTAACGGTCGAGATACGCCCGCGGCCATGAGGTGGATTGGGATCTGAGACACCTTGCGCCGCATGGCGGGCGGCCGCGGGTTCGAGGACGGCTTGTGCCGCTGTTTTTTGCCCGGTGCGAGCGCCCGAAAGAGAATCGCGAGTGGCGACGCCGTCGCACTGTGCTCTTTGAGCGTGTACTTGAGTAATAGCAGGCGCATCGCTTGGCGCGACTGGACCGCAAAGACGATCGGGTTGGTCTTGGGCACGAGAAAGAGACCCGCGACGGGGGCGTCCATGCGAATTTGGTGAATGTTGCGAAGGAGGTCGAGGTCCCACATACGAATGGTGCCATCGAGGGACCTAGTTCATATCGACAATTATGTACAAGCAAAACCCAATGAAAGTTACGAGGAGAAAACACTCTGCGAGACGTCGTCGAACGCGAGGCCCGTGATGGGCTTGGTGTGGTCCTTGAAGACTGCGAGGGTCGAGCGCGGGTACAAGGTCGCGACGTAAATCGAACCGTCCATGCAGCCGACTACGATCGCCTTTTGCTTGTAGACAACAAAGTCGGTGATGGCGCCGTTGACATTCTTCACTAATTTCTTGATCGTCTCCAGGTGCGTGTTGTCGACGAGGCTGTAGACATGAACGGCGTTGTTGGACAAGAAGTAGACGCGGTCGAGATCAAGCTTCATGCGCTGAACCCACGTCGTGCCCGTCTTCGTAAACGCATCGCTCGCGGCGACTTGGTATGTTGGGTTGCGCAGCGTCTGGCCCTCGTGCTCGTACCTACGGGTAGCCGTTGGTTCCGGCGAGCCGTCGACGAAGGATACCCGTCCCAGTCCTTGCCGCGGAGGACCCACGCGCCGCAGCCGTCGACGCCGCCCGTTAGAATGCGCTGGCGAGGCTCATCGAATGCGAGACAGAGAATACTTGCGCGGTGCGTAAAGACGACCGCGAGTTCGTCCATGTGCTCGTCGTAGAAGCGCAGCGCGCCGTCGAGGCAGCTCGCCACGTACAAGTTGCGCGACGGAATGTACTCGATCGTTTGCACCAAGTTAGTTGTACGCGCCGGCAAGGCCACACTACGTATTTCGCCGTCGCGGTGCCATAGCTTGAGACTGCGTTCGTCTACAGCCCGGTCGCCTGAGCCAAATTGAGATACGACGACAGAGTACCAGAGTTCGCAAAGCGGTCAAAGCGGTCGTTGTAGCAGAACGCGTTGATCGTCGAGCTGTGAATGACTTGGGCCAGCTCCTCGATGACCACGCCTTGCATCGTATGGACTGGCTAGCAGTTTCGTAACAGGGTGGCGCGACGGGGTAGTAACGCATAGAGACACTTATTTCTCGCCGCATCACGCTGCCACGTCATCGCGCCGCCTTGCGAGGGGAAGCTGCCGCCAGTTCAATGCAGTGGCAAATCACAAACTCTACACAGCAAAAAGGACGAGGTGGAGTACTAGGGACCATAGCATCGATGAGCAAGAGCCTTTGCATAGTGAGCACAGCGACGGTCTCTAACGGTATATTAACGTTTGTAACACTTTGAAAGATCGGCAAACGTTCACGTAAAATCCACCAATGGCATCGCCGCATGCCACTTGCGATCTTTGGCCGTCCGATGCTCATTGCCGTCGTCTTGGACGTCGTCCACAAGGAAGGCGAGGACAACCTCCTGTACGTGAGCACCAAGTCGGGCTGTGACGCACTCTTGCCGCTGCGCGGCGTCGTGGCTGCTGCGGCTGGCGCGGCGCGGACACTCTTTCGAGAACGCATTCAAAGCTGCACGTTTGCGCCGGGGGTGTGCGCCGCCTACGTCGACGACGGCGACCTCCTCTTCGTCCTCTTGCAAGACGGAGACGACGGCTCGATCTCGTGGCTACAAGCTTGCGCGATCAACTGCTACGAGTTTCTACAGAGCGCGTTTGGCCCGCCCGGCGTCAAGTGCTGCGACTGGACCAAGCAGTCGGCGGCCGTCGACGACGTTGTCACCCAGTGGATTGCCGCCGTCGCGCACGGTGCGGTCTCTCGCCTTCAACACCAAGACATCGACGTGGGCATAGAACGGGGCATGGTCTGGCGAACATTGTTCCCCCATTCGACGCCGGCGCGCCGCCTGCCGTGGAGCACTCTCGTACATCGACACCAGCGCATGCAGCCATGTACCACGAGCTTTGTAGATGGAGATACACGGACCGCAGTACCTCAACGTTGCCGAACTGGTCTCGAAATTCCTGTCGCACCTCGTACGCATTATGCATGTAACTAGCCAAGCTGTGGGCGTCCGATCGGCGTCCTCCTCTGCTATGCGTATCAGCGTCTACCACGATATTTTGCTTGCAGCAACCGCTTCTACTAGGCAGCAGGTCGTGCTCTCGACCTTTGGCGCTGCCACCACGCGACTTCTCCACCAGTGGGCTCTCTTTTACGGTAGCCTTTCCCACTACGATACGTCTGAGAGAGCGAGCAGTGCGCGCCGGAGCCTGTCATGTCCGACACATCAACGTCCTCGACGACGCCGCGCACGAAGTCGTGGGTCGCATACTGACGCTGCTCTGTCATGGCGCGGTACACAAAGCGAGTTGTATCTCTTGCTGCATGCTTGGTGGTGCGTAGTGGGCGTTGCTCGTGCTCGACCCGATCACGGACAACCCTCCGTCGACCGAATTCGACGCAAGCGCAACTACGCACGGTCTTTCGCTCATCTGGCATAGGACCTCCTTGTGCGACTCGAGACAGCCTTTGGGCATCAGCTCGCGACCGAGGCTCCACTCATCGTCCTGCCGCCGCCGCACGCTAACGCGTACCTGCATGTGCTGCGTTGGAGCAAAGTGCATTTCCGCTTTCACGAGCAAGCGCCCATGAAAGCTTGCGCATTGGTCGACGCCGCGTGGACTCGCTGCGTTGAGAGCATGCGTGCGCGGTATGCAGTGGCCGAGGTACGCGTCCGTCGATCCGCGCGCATGGGCTCAGCGGCTGGGTTCAGGACGCTCATCGTATCGCCACGTCTCCGTTCATGGAGCACCCGGAAGCCCCGCTTGCGGACGACACGGCGTGGATGCTGCATGTCGCAGTGCCCAGCGACGATGGCGAAGACGTTGGCGGCAGCGGGTACGACCGCGGTCTCTTTCCCCCGAGTAGTTCGCTCTACCGCCCGAGCCCCGTGCTGTCGCAGCGCATCTCGACCCAGGCGCGTCGCCTGCGCGTCAAAACGTCGCAAGACGCGCTGTGGGTGCGCGCGTATGGGATTCTCGTCGCCTTGCATTGGCTAACATCAAGCCTAGCTTTCACGGGGCCGACCATGATGTCTACGTGTGCTACGACGCGTCGACACCGCACCATGTTCTGGAGGCAGCATGCACCGTCCAAGGCGAGTGACCGGTCGATTGAAAAAAGGATCAAGTTGATAGATAAAACTACAGTGCTAAACTGGAGATCAGAACCCGAGTCATATCCACAAGAGCGTACCCGGGGCGAGCACAAACTGGCGCGGCGTCTGCGTCGAGATGAGGCCGTCGTTGAGCGCCGGGATCTCAAACCGGTTGAGGAAGAGCAGCATCGTGTGGATAAGAAATACGATCGTAGTCCAGAGCGCCGTGTACGAAAAGCCAAACGGAAAGCAGAAAAAGTAGACGTGGAACATGCTAAAGTAGAGCAAAAAGAGCGGCGGGAAAAACGTGAGCGAGAGCCACGTGCGCACGCTAGACCAGATCTGGTCACGACCACTCGCACATTTGAAACAAGCGTACCAGACGACCGAGTAGAGTTCGCAGAGCCACGCGAGCGACATGACGATGAACGCGAGGAGCTGGTCTTTGAAAAACTCAAAGAGGAAAAAGAGCATCCCGACCTAAAATTTGACATTGAGTTTGTTTCTCAATCGTGCGTTTCGAGATGTACCATGATGGGCACAAACACGAGCGACTCGATGATGTGGCTGAGCACGAGCTTGGTGTACGGCAGTCGGTGTCGAATGTGCTGCTGCAGCAAGACTAGGTAGTACATGCAGCCATCAGATACTTGCAACGCTTCCGGAGGACCGACTCGTAAACTTGAGCATCCGTTGCTGCGTCTCGCGCAAAATGAACGAGACGAGCGTCGTCGTGCTGAAGAAGAGGAAGAGCACCGTGCAAAAGATACCGAGCTTGTACGCGGCCAGCGAATACCACTACTCGACGCGTGAGCATCGTAGCTATTGTCTGGGACGTCGTACCGTCGATGTGGTCGCGCGAAACTCGCTCGCATAGTTGAGGTTGTATGTGTCTTTTGTGAGCTCGTTGTAGAGGTAGCCCTTCCCGCCGTCCGTGATCTCAATCATGTTGTTGATCAGAATCGTGTCGAAGCCAAGGACCTTGTCGAGGAAGAGCATCCACGCGCTTGAAGTGCCCACGTACGGCAGCCCAAAGCACTCGGACGACATCGGTACCGAGACGTGCGCGATTTGCAGCGCCGGCATCTCGTCCGGGTACTCGACCATCGTCAAGAGCCCTTTCTGCATTGCATAGACGTACGCGTTGCGTGGCGCTGCCCGCGGCGCGTTGTCTGTAAACAAGCCCTAGCCAGATGCGTCGACGGTCGTGCGACGAGTTGCATGGACCGTACCGAAAGCGAGAGCCACGATGCTTTGTCAGGCTCGACTTGTATATGTAGCAGGTGCGGCATCGTGGTGGGCATGAACTGGCGCAGGCAGCCCGCTTGGTCATGGCCGCTACGACTGCCATGAGCGTCATGCGCATGGCCTCCGCGCGCACCTCATAAACGTGCGGTGGAGGGTTGTCACGAGGCACAGCAGACCCACGGCGAGCACGAAGAGGGTCGTCTCGAGCGCAATGCGTGTCTATCGCGATGCGCATGAGGCTTGGCGGATCCAAGACGATGCTGCATGAAGCGAGTACCTTGCCGCCGGCGAGGCGCATGAGGATGCGGCTAACCCGCACGTGCATGCGGAAGAAGATCTGCTCCATGACGTGGTCGGTACAGCGTGGGGATGGCGGCGGGAGGTAGTCGGGTGCAAGCCTCGCTCCGGCCGCTGTTTATGTTCTGCGGCCAAATCGAGTTCCATACAAAATGCAAGGTTGGGCATCCGGATTCAAGCGACGTATCCGGATATTCGCCGTCAACAGCGTGATTTTGGCGGACAGTTGATTTTATTCTGTGGGCGCGTCAACTTCAATGTGACGAGCGCCGTGTCACCTGCTTTGCCCGAGTATCTTAACAACGGCCAATCAGCGAACGGATCAACCGGTGATCGTCTCCAGTCCATGAGGCTCAAGAAGCCGACGAAGAAGTCTTGGGCATGCAGGTCTTCTTCGAGCGCGAACAACCCGCGGCAAGCACGGATGTACAGTGCAGTGGAAGAGTTCCTTCAGGCTGTCGCCACGTTCTTCGCCCAGAAGCTCAACCCACTGACCACTTTGGCGGACAAGCAGAGGAGATTGAAGGTTGTCACACTGCCGCAAAAAGGAACAAGATCTCACCGACGTCAACGTCGTGTCTTCAACGTCGGCAAAGTACGCGGTCACGTCCGAGCAATCAAGGTCCTTCTCGTCCGTGCGCTTGTTCCTTGGACCAGCACGACCTATCCCAATGCGAGCTTCGTCGCTCAGCGCTCTCCGCAGCTCTCATGCATGGCAAGAAGCGATGGTTCTTGTCGCCTTCTTGTCGTCTTGCGGTTTGCCACCTGGTAGATCCGGGTTTGAGTCGAGAGAGAGCTCCACTACCGCAACACGAACTCTAGGCGTCCGAGGAAGGCCCTTTATGATAGCATTGGAACTGCACCAACGCACGCGTACTTTTCTCGCGCCGTCGAGTGCGATGGAATACCAGTGCGCAGTAACCAATTTCGTGCGAACGACCGATCAGCTCCAGTTGACAGGCGCCTTTGATCCGACCTTGGTCGCTCGACCAGACTGCTTGCCGTCGTCCTTCGCCAAGTCGTCTGTCGCGATGGGAGCATCGCAAGAGCGTTTGATGTAGCTACATGGTTGGCGAGCCGGCAGCAATGCGCATCGATGGGCGTATCTTGCGTTAAATACCGGCTCGTGGGTTTAAGTCCTGGGCTTTCCGGACGACCCGATTGGCCAATCGTGGCGGCGCGTATCCGGACAGCCAAGAGCGCTATCTTTTGCCACCAACCAAGGACGCAGCATGGCCAAGAAGGACAAGAAGGCGACGGCCGCCAAGAAGGACGAGAAGAAGGCCCGGCAGGAGCTCAAGCAGCAGAAGATCAACAAGAAGAAGGCAACGAAGGAGGCCAAAGATGCGGGCGAGGAAGACATTGAGGCCATTCTGAACGAGTTTATGAAGAAGGACGCGGCCAAGGTGGCCATCACGATCGTGCCCACGACGCAGCCGTCGCCGCGCGCCAACTTTTCGCTGAGCTCGATGCCCAACAACGATCTCCTGCTCTTTGGCGGCGAGTACTTTGACGGCGAGTGCAACGAATGCTTCAACGAGCTCTACCGCTGGAACCTCGAGACAAACGAGTGGAAGCTCATCTCGTCGCCCAACACGCCGCCGCCGCGCTGCAGCCACCAGTCGGTCGTGTACCGCGACCATCTCTACATCTTTGGCGGTGAGTTTGCGACCGCCGACCAGTTTTACCATCACCGCGTACGTCCATGCCCTCTCGACCTCGCTCAGCACTGCGCATTAGGATCTCTGGCGCCTCGACCTCAAGACAAACGCGTGGGAGTGCATCGAGAGCAAGGGCGGCCCGTCGCCGCGCAGCGGCCACCGCATGATTGTCTGGCGCAACTACCTCGTAGTCTTTGGCGGGTTTTACGAAGCCGCGCGAGAAACCAAGTTCGTCCATGCTCCACGTCTCCACCTCCACACGTGACGCATTAGGTGGTTCAACGACCTCTTCCTCTTCAACTTTGCCGATCTCAAGTGGAAGAAGATTACGTTTCCCGTGCACAAGACGACGCCGGGGCCGCGCAGTGGCTGCCAGGTCCGTCCTCCCCGCTTCCACAACCGGCCTTTCTACAAGAAATGACTTAGCTGGCAGTCTTGCCATCGAAGGACACGATCTTCATGTACGGTGGGTACGCCAAGATCAAGAACGTGGGCGAGAAGTCCGAGGGCAAGGTGTACACGGACATGTGGGCGCTCAACATGGCGCCGGTCATCAAGAACCAAGACCCGACGTGGGAGAAGGTAGCCTTACATTCTACCTGCGTTGCCTCTGGACAGAGGTATCTCTGAGTAGCTTTCGCGCAAGGGCCATGCGCCGAGTCCGCGCAGCGGTGCGACCATGACAGTCTATAAGAACCGCGCGATTCTCTTTGGCGGTGTCTTTGACGAAGAGGGCCGCCGCCACGAGCTCAAGAGCGTCTTCTACAACGAGATGTTTGCGTATGACATGGAGCGGAAGCGCTGGTTCGAATATAAGCTCCGCAATAAGAAGGATGGCAACAAGCAGCGCCGCCGGAAGAAGACCAAGTCGTCGACACCGGGTGCCGACGACGACGACGACGATGATGACGAGGATGACGACGGGTCGCAAAGCGGCAGTGATGACGACCGTGCGGCCGAAGACGATGTACGACGCACATGTGCTTTGAAATGACGGACGTGATGACGGGATAGGAGCAATATCAGAAGCGTCAGAACCAATTTGGGTACGTCGGTGAAGACGGCACCATCGTGTACCTCGAAGACGACGACGAAGAAGAGTCGAAAGAAGATAACGGCGCCCAGGAGCTCCCGTCGTCCGCGCCACCTGCCCGAGTGACCGAGAACGACAAAGACGAAGAAGAATCCAAGGAAGAGGAACACAACGATGATACGTCCGACTTGCTTCCGGACGTCTTGCCAGTCGTCGCGCCGGTCGTCGATGACGGCCCGCCTGCCCGTGTGCCACTGCCGCGTATCAACCCCGCGCTCATTGTGCGTGGCAACACCATCTTCGTGTACGGCGGTGTCCTCGAGGTACAATGCCGCTGTGGATGCCCCATGCACCTCACGGGATGCCATTAGGATGGCGATCGCGAGATCACGCTCGACGACTGCTGGTTCACTGCTGCATACATCGAGTCGCGCTCAACGTCTGTCGTAGGTCCATGGATCTCAAGCGCATGGACGAGTGGGTCGAAATTCTGCCGGGCACGATGGCACAACAGCTCTGGAAGGGCGTTGTGAGTGACACGGAGGACGACGATGACGACGACGACGACGATGAAGAAGAAGACGACGACGACTTTCAAGAGTACGTCGAGCCACTCGAGGACGCGGACGATGAAGCCAAGGCGCCGGTATGTCGAATCGCAACGACATCATATGACATGCACCAGGCGCCGAGCGAGGCGGCGATGGCCGTTGCGCGTGCCGTGGACGTCCTTGACGGCACCGACGAGCCGGTCAAGTCCAAGAAGAAGAAGACCGACCGGTGCGAGAACGCGGCGCGATCGGGAACTGAGTCGTTTTGGTGTAGGAAAGCGCTTCGAAAGGAGATTGAGGAGCTTCAGGACCAACTGCAGCTCGCGGACGAGCTGCAGACGCCGCAGCCCGGCGAGACATTGCGCGATTTCTTTGCGCGTACAGCCAACCACTGGGCGCGTCAGGTACAACCGCGTTGCTTGCATTTGGTTGTCGGGATGCATTGTAGGTGGCGAATTTGCCCGAGACGACCGAGCGCCAGCTGAGCGTCAAGGACATCAAGCGCGAGGGCTTTGCGATGGCCGAAGTCCGCTACAACGAGCTGCTACCGAGTACGACGACGCTGCCATCCTCGAGTCCAGCATCTCATGCTGTTTGCGTAGTTTTGGAGCGCTTGAACGAGCTCGAAGCCGCCCAAAAGGCTGCCGAAGAGGCCCATCAGTCCAAGAAGGCGGCGAAGAAGGGCGGTCGCGAAAAGGACCGGCGTTAAACCGAACAGTCTTGGGGTTTGTGCTCGTCTTATTCACTGCTGGTTGAAGAGGCGCCCAAAGAGCCCCATGGACTTTTCCGGAGTCAAAAACTTTAACTCGCGCTCTTCGCCGAGGAAGCGCGCGACCGTGTCTTCGAACGCGACCGCGGCCTTGTCGGTCTTGCTCGCGATCACGGGCTGGCCCATGTTGGACGAGTTGAGGACCTGCGCCGACTCGGGGATGACGCCGACGACCGGCAGCGCCAGCATCTCTTGAATGTCCTAGAAGCCCATGAGAAGAGGCTGCATGTACGAAGGACGATCTACCTCGACCGAGAGACATTCTTCGTTCGAGACGCGCTTGGCGTCGTAGCGGTTGATGAGGAGGTACTGGTTGACTTTGGCCCGGCCTTCCTGCGCGCGGAGCGACTTGCTCGCAATGAAACCAATCATCTTGTCCGAGTCACGACACGACGAGATTTCGGGGTTGGTCACGATGATGGCTTCGTCCGCGAAAAACATGGCGTGGCGTGCGCCCGACTCGATGCCGGCCGGCGAGTCGCAAATGATGTAGTCGAACTCGTGCTTGAGCTCTTCGAGCACCTACGCCTATGTTACGCATGTGTAGCGAGCAGCCAGGACGCTCTACCTTGGCGACGCCGTCTTCCGTGAGCGCGTCTTTATCGCGCGTCTGGCTCGCCGCCAACAGCGACAGCTTCTCGAGGCGCTTGTCCTTGATGAGCGCTTGGCTGAGGCGGCAGTTGCCGTCAATGACGTGGATAAAGTCAAAGATCACGCGGCGCTCGCAGCCCAAGTGAATGTCGAGGTTGCGCAAGCCAATGTCAAAGTCAATGAGGCACGTGCGGTAGCCCTTCTGCGCCAGGCCATAGCCGATGCTCGCCGAACACGTCGTCTTGCCGACACCGCCTTTCCCGGAGGTCACGACGACAACCTTGCCCTGGGGCGAGCCGCCAGCAGTGGCATCCTGGTTGCCAAGGCCGGCGACCGCCGTGTAGCGCGCCACCGTCCGCGGCGCGAGCGTCTTGGCCGGATGGAGAGCGCGGAGGAGCAGCATGAGGAACTCTGTGGTAAAATTGTGGTGCACTTTCTGCAGAACTGAAAACCTCTCTAATCACATACTCCACAACATGCGTTTAAACAGGTTTTGCCCGTTTCAAGCGGCATTGACGTTCTGTTGTCGGCAAGCTCCCCTTGGAGCTTCACGCTCTGGAGAGCGTTGCTGCCCCAACCGTCTGCGATGACGCCTGGCGAAATTAGGCGGCTCCAAGGATATATAGCGCGCACGACTGCTATTTGAGGCGTCCAAGGTCGCGAACCCCAAGCGCATTGCGCACCTACGAGCGCAGAGAGGAGGTATCGCGGCGGTTGCATACTATCGAGATGTACCAACTGCTATATCACGCCGATCTTGGAGCACTCTCGACGGGCCTTGGAATAAAGGGTGCGGAGTCCCTTGGCGTGAAAACGGCTTGAAACCGAGGAAACCCCAAGTGTCGTCCGCGGCGTCCTGATTGTACCGCGAAATTCGGGCAGGCGTCCTGATTTCAAAGCAACTTGATATTTGTATGCTGCGATCGAAGCTGTGAAACGCCCCGATCTTTGGGCGAAGCTTGGTATTTGTATGGTGACGGCTTGGCGCGCGGTGATTGGTGCGGAATGTTTCGTAGAAAGATTAGGAGCCAATCAAACGCGAGGGCTGGACCCGACGCTTCGATCTTGGAGAGGTTCCAGCGCTGGTCGGCTATGACCCACTCTCACATTTTCTTCTTCCGCCACGGCAGAAGAGAACCAGCGCATTAGAGTCTTCTCCTCCGCTCCCGGCTACAGGTACGCAGGCTCATGGCGGTGGCAGCAGCTCATGGCCGCGTAGACTAAGATGATGCGCGCGGCCACGATTGCCCTGCTTGCGTTCGCTGCGATTGTTCGCGCCGAAGACCTCAACCAGGAATACAGCGCGCCTGCCCCGCAGGGCTACGGCGCGCCGGCTCCCAAGGGCTACGCGGCGCCTGCTCCGCAAGGCTACGGCGCGCCTGCTCCCCA